ATCTATGGTCAAATCTAACTTTCCGGAGGCGACTGTAGAAAAATTAAACTTTAAATACTCTGAGTTTTATTCATCCTTCAAAGTGACCATTTCTGAAAACAATTTTAAATATGGCCTAAAAATGCCTGTATACATTATTTTTTACAGAAACGCCGGAATTTAGCCCCGGTGAGTTAGATATTGCGCAAACGCATGTAAACATTTCAATCCTTCTGTATTACTTTGAAACGTGCAAAGTATTAATTATAACAAAATCAATCAGCTTCTTCTTGACATCGGTGATTATAAGAATATGTCTGCGCTATGTCTAACTCAGACATGGGCCATAAAAGATTTAGTTGTAAATAACGAAATTGAGGGATTCCATTTATGTGACAGTTATTGCAGAAGCCAGTTTAAAGGTGGTTGAGTAGCTATACAGGGTGTCCGCAAAGTTGGGGTTTTCCTTTTCAGAAACAACTACCCTTGAAATAACAAAGGTAATGTGTAGTGAAACGAGGGCGACCAAGTAAAAAAAACTAAAGGAAAAAGTACTCACTCTCCAGTTGACGAGAAGGGCTAAGTACGTCTCTGCCTGAAATCGAAAGTTATTCACCCCATTACGCGTGAACGTAGATTCGTCTGTCACCAATATGCACTTCAAAGAGTCCGGATTAAAGTCATGTTGATGCAACAACCACTCACAAAACCGCACTCTTGCTGGAAAATCGTCAGGTTGAAGGGCTTGTACACGTTGGACGTTTGCCACACTTTAGTTTTTGATACTTGCACTTCTCTAGCCACGTCTCTAGTGCTTGTTGAGGGATTCTCGTCTACGCGATTCAGTAGTTCTTCCTCAACCTGCATCATTCGTAGTTGTCTAGGCCTCCCACTGTGCCCACCTCGAAATTCCTCCAAATGGCCCGTATCCCTGACTCTCTGGACCAGGTACACAAATCTGCGGGGCCTTGCATGATGTCGTCTAGGGAAACGATCTGCATACACTCGCGACGATTCTGTAGCATTTTGAAGACATTCGCCATAAATTAACAACATATCAACGAGTTCATTATTGGTGTATGAGTGTGCCATTATTATTTTTTTTTTGAAACGCAATCGATTATACGGGTTCGTTACCTCTATACGCGTGACCCTTTACCGTCGGTTGAAGGTTGCATACTGACCTGACCCACTGACCCCGACCCCCGACCCAGTTCTGTCGTCGGGTTCAGCTAGTAGCCGGTACCAGTCTGAGATATCGCGGCCGGTCGCGGCTACAGGACGGTATTCAGATATTTTTGATGTTGCAGAGCCCTTTATCTCGGTGCCCTTAAGACATTGGTGTATATGGTACTAAGAAAAATTGCTTATGTTTTCAAGATCCAGACGTCGTGTAAAGGAAAACCCCAACTTTGCGGACACCCTGTATATTTAAAAAGTCACATTGAATACAAAATAATAAAAATATCAAAAGGAAATTGAAATGTGTGCTATTTCTTTTAATAATACTGTTTTGGTCTTGTGTCATCCTCCACCTTGCGGTAATTTATCTGTTTTTTACGATCAGCTACACAGAGCGTTGGACTCGTTATATAAACCAAATTTTAAAACTATATCTACTATGTGGTGATTTTAATATCGACGTTTACAAACCAAATTACGATTTTAAGCGTTTTATTGACACTGTGAGTGACTTTGATTTGCATCCAATAATAAAATGGCCAACAAGAATTGCGAAATCATCATTAACAACCACTCACCAGATATTTCTAAATTTTCAGAACTATGGTGCAAACTGCATCATTGATAATACTGTATCTGACCATAGTACCGTACTCCTTGAACTGAATATTTTCTGCCCTGACAATGATTTAGGTTACGAAATCTATCATTCTCGTAAATTCGATGAAAATGCGGTTAATAACTTTATGTGCAATTTAATATCTGAGAGTTGGTTGGAAGTGTATAATAACTCAAACTGTGTGGATACAGCGTTCACAACTGTTTTGATATAATTTTACATTATTTTAACACGAATTTTCCACTTATGAAACGCTTTAAAAAATTGAATACAAAGAAATGGGTGAACAATGGAGTAGGAATATCAAGCAGGAACCTGAAAAACTTATCTGGCTTAAGCAAAATATTCCCAGAAGTCAAATCGGAGTATCTTCGAGCCAAAAAATTGCATCAGAATCTGGTGGCCACAGCCAGAAGAACTTACTATCAAAACAAAATTTTCCCATCGGGATACATCAGTATGTAATGATAACTTTCAGTATATTGAAGTTGGTAAATTCGAGAGTGGCATGCATTAACAAACGTCCAAATCTGCTGCCAAATTTCACAGCTAGAAAATCGACCTATTTCCATTCACTGAGGGGGATAACGGATTGTTAAATGTAAACCGATAACATATATCAAAATACATGAAAGTTGTCCTATTTTTTCTGTACAAAAGCATCATGTTGGAATCAAAAAGTGGTCTTGTTTATAATACAGTCGAATTTTCACGATTTTATTCAATATTTCAATAGAAATCACTAATATTCGGAGATCTTTGACAGCTTCTGACAAGTTGCATTTCGATAAGGTATTTTCCCATTGGTCCATAATATAAATGTTGGTGAAATTGGCCCTTATATAGTTTTGTCATAACTCTGTATATAGATGCTCCCTTGACGTTTCCATACAAACTTTGTTTGTCTCAAGAATAAAATAAATTATTATTATAATATTTACGTGATGTTCAGTTGTTTTACTTCCTACGCATACTGGCGGGGAAGTAATGTAGTCGCGAACATAGAACCCCTAATCGAAAAACCGAGTAACACCAGAAACGAGAATTCTGGCAAAATCTCAATTATAGACAAAGTATTGTTTCGTCGCTGTCTGTCTAGACGGTATGTAGGAAATTTGCATTTGTATTAAAGTATGGTTGATTTCACGGTTTTTGGCGGTTACGTAATCAATGCCATGCGAAATAAGTGCTTGGTGGAGACTATGCTGTCGGCTACGCAGGTTTTTATCCATAAATTACCCCATTAGGAATTAATCCCGGTTGTTACCATCGAATTACTTTTTCAATCAGTTAACTGAAAAAGCTGATGCCCAAAGAATAATAGCAATGATTTTGGGGAAAAGAAATCGCCAGAATCGATTAACGATACGAACCTCGATATTTCTTTTTTCTTTGGATCAGGGAGCTTCCACATTGACAAGGGTTTTTGGATTAGCTTACCCATTAAAAGGAATGAACAGAGCGTAGTAATGGGTGATTTTTATGGCAACACTGTTTTTGACAGATGACGCGTCAATCGTGTCTTGTGTCATTGTCAAACGTGTTCAGTTTGGTCTATAATTTAACCATGAATTGACTTACGAACGAACAACGCTTGCAAATTATTGAACTTTACTATCAAACTTCATGCTCGGTTAAGAGAGTGCATCGAGCACTGCTTCCAATTTATGGGCAATTTGGTCGTCCTACTGAGGGAGCTATTCGGAAGCTTGTGACTAAATTTCGAACCCAGTTTACATTATTGGACATTAATCCACCAACACGCAGACGTGGAATGAGGAGTGAAGAAAATATTGCGGCAGTGTTAGTGATGACCGTGAAATGTCGATTCGCCGCCGTTCGCTGCAATTGGGCCTCTGTTACTCCACTACGTGGAAAATTTTGCGACAGGATTTGGGTGTAAAACCTTATAACATACAGCTGGTGTAAGAATTGAAGCCACACGACCTTCCACAATGTTTCCCATTTGGTGAATGGGCGCTGGCAAAGTTGGAGGAAGATCCACATTTTTATCGAAAAATTGTGTTCAGCGACGAAGCTCATTTCTGGTTGAATGGGTACGTTAACAAGCAAAATTGCCGCATCTGGAGTGAAGACATGCCAGAAGCATTGCAAGAGCTAGCAATGCATCCCGAAAAAATCACTGTTTGGTGTGGATTATGGGCCGGTGGCATCATCGGACCGTACTTCTTCAAAGACTACATTGGCCGGAACGTAACTGTGAAAGGCGAGCGCTACCGTGCGATGATAACAAACTTTTTTTTGCCCAAAATGGAAGAGCTGGACTTGGCTGACATGTGGTTTCAACAAGACGGTACCACATGCCACACCGCACATGAAACAATGGCCCTATTGAGAGGCGAGTTCGGTGAATAGTTTATCTCATGTTTGGGGCCCGTCAATTGGCCGCCTAGATCGTGTGATTTAACGCCGTTGGACTATTTCTTGTGGAGCCATGTTAAGGCTAATGTCTACAGGGATAAACCAGCAACGATTGACGCACTGTAAGCCAATATTGAAGCATTTATTCGTGAGATACCGGCCGATATGTTGGAGAGAGTGTGCCAGTGTCATTACTTAATTTACAAACCTTGTTAACACATGTCGGTAGGCAGTCAATGGCTTGGTTTGCAGAAAGAAATTAATATTGAAATATTGGTTCACCTCATGAATCATTTAAAAAACCTCTGGACAATTTAATTTCGACGAGTGTATCAAGACTTTAGGACACACGACTCCATAAACTGTCCTAAAGGTGCGTTAGAGGGCATTTGGTCGAATTCAGTGCCTGAAACCTTGAACAGTTGGGTAAATAGTATGCCCGCACTATTTTTGGTATGATTATGGTAGTTACTCAATTCATTATTAAGATTAGCGTATTGCTAAAAACTACTGTAATAGGACGATAGTCATGCACCACATACTTCTCCACGTTTTCCATTAATCAACATCAAGTCATCTGATTTGTTGTTAAATAAAGTTGTATAAGCTCCCTATTTATTATTTTTATCTATTTTGAGCAAGCAGAGAAAAACAGAAAAATGTTGATAGAGCTATCGTTATCCTTTCCAGTTCAAATTCACCCTGTCAATCCCGTCTTGTATATTGACATCGTAATGAGCTAGATTCAACTCTGTGTCTCTTGTCGAATTCCAAACAACTTGAATAATTACTTAGAACAGTCGAGCTGATTGTATCACTAATTCATTGTGTTTTACAGTTCAACTTTGTTGGAAAACTTCTGGGACCCAAGGGTAACTCCCTGAAAAGGCTACAGGAAGATACTATGTGCAAAATGGCCGTGCTAGGACGGGGCTCCATGAAGGACAGGCACAAGGTCAGTCATGATAATGGTAGACAGTTTATTTTATTTACGATGCTATCATCTAAATCAAGAGTTCGATCAGGAATGCTTTCAAAAATGACATACATTTTAAAGATAATAAGATAGTTCCTGTGGATCGTTCTAAGAATTTAGGTATTTTAATGGATGGTAAGAATTTCGTGAACGCCTAAACCAGGGCTGTCCAACTTAATGTGGCCACTTAAAAAAAATGAAGTTTGGAGGGCCGCATTATAAAATCTTTCTATACAACATTATTACTGCGTTTTCATAGGTATATATATATTTAAGAGTAATTTATACATGTGATGTATACATGGCCCGTGAGGCGGGCCCCAAGAAAGGCGGCCCGCGGGCCGTATGTTGGACAGCCCTGGCCTAAACTATCTAATTTTCCAGTGCTACGCTATTGTCAGAGTTTAATTTGCAAATGAGGCTATATTGCATAAATCTGCGAGAAAGCAATTGTGTAAAATGTCTACGTATGTTTATCCGATTTTAATAATTTTTCGAATACAGGTATATGTCTAGTGTCCATTACCAGTAAGATGATTAAATTTTCAGTTTGATTAGTCAACTGACTGCAGAAGCTGGTTCAATATACAGGGTTAAACGTTATGATAGTCATTATTTAAATGGGTAAGCAAAAAGTTTCATACAACATGGGGGTCAAAACGGCATTTTTCTAGAGAAAAGCGACTTTAAAGTAAAATAAAATCTGACACTACCGCAATACCAGACGCAAATTACGACGTAACGCAGTGTAAATAAAGATGGAGTTTGTTACTTTTGGCTCTTAGGTATTATTTCATTATTTGATAATGTACTCGTAAAATGCAAATAATTAAAAAAAACGGACATACCACTAACTGTCTCAGCGCTTCACCTGGTGTGTGAAAGTTTATTGAACGTATAAATAGGGAACACAATTTTGATACATACATTTTTTTTAAACCCACACTGCACTTGCTTTGTATTTAAAGAATGTGTTCAAAATGTCGTCCTCCACTTTCCACATAAGCTTCATTACGATGAACCCAGTTTCTTCTTACTCTAGGTCCTCGAAGTTGTTCATTTATTATTTCATTAAAAGTTTTTTCGCGAAGTTGTGCTTCAGTTGTTATTGGACCAGCCCCATAAACAATCCCTTTAAGTTCTCCCCAATACCAGAAATCCAGGTCAGGAGATCTTGCTGGCCATTTTCGAGGATCACGAGCATTTCGATTTGGATAATGTTCATTCAAATACTGAATGTCGAATCTAAAAATGTGTGGTGGTGCCTCGTCATGAAGAAACCACAAATTCTGTCTCCGTTGTAATGGCATGTTGTCTAAGGTCTGTTCCAAAAGTTCTGGTAGGTTATTGGCTAGAAAGCTAAGGTATCCTTCTCCTGACAACTTTTGGGGTAACTCGAAAGGGCCAATTACCTGATCGTCAAGAATACCCGCCCAAATATTTATGTTAAAACGTTGTTGGAAATTACCTTCACGAATGGTATGAGGATTTTCTTGGGCCTACGTGTGAGTACTATGGAAATTTAATATCCCGTCACGCGTAAAAGTACATTCGTCCGTCGCTATTACCCAGTTCAATAATGACTACCATAACGTTTACATCCTGTATATTTTTCAGGTTTTTCTCTTGGCCGTTTTAGTCAGAACTTTTTTTTTGCCGCGAGCCTCTACGATGTACTCTGTACATCTTTAAATTGTGCTCAAAGATGTGTAAATAGTCCGTAGGCAGTTTCTGTATTATAATATCTAACAGATGTTGCGCCGTCCTGTATGTACAGCCTCACAATTCCAAGGAGCACGTAGGCTTGTTCGCTCGTTAACGTGTGATATGTGGAAGAAGGATGAGTATGAAAAACTCCTCCTTATTTTGGGCACTTGCAAGGGGATCATAAATCACCCCTGAGCGCTAATCTTCGGATTTGAGGTCAGAAAACCTAATTCGCCAGTCGATATCCACTTTTTGCGCGCCTTCACTCACATGATATATTTTCATCAGTCTTCCTTTATTACACAACTGCCTCAAAAGGAGGGTAAAATGTTTATCGCGCGTTGGTATACATTTAAAAAAAAAATGACGGGCAACAGGCCAATCAGCTGGTCGACTTTTGACATATGAGATGTCGTCGGATTCGTCTTAACAATACGAGAGGCAATGGCTTATTAAAACTTTATAAAAACAAAATGACGGCTTTTAATAAAAGAAATAAACGTTTATATTCATATTTCACGGAAGCGTGATGGATTTTTTGACATATGAATAGGATGGAATATAATCATAATGGTCTTTTTGCTTTTAAAGAAGTAAACTACATTAGCACATGTTGACAATAGGGGTGACAGAACTGCACCTTGCGAACAGCCCCGAGATACACTGATAGAATAGCAGAATAGCTGTTGCTACCCGACCTTCCAGGGTTAATAGGACCCAATCAACTAGAAATGATCCAACTTCGTGCCTAACCAAGGCATGTATGATAGAGTCGGTTATATTTATATACAGGGTGACTTTGAAGTTGAGTCATTAATTTTCAGATAATGATTGTAGAAGGAAGATAAACCAAAATATGTGTGTAAAAATAAAAATAAAAATTAAAAAAATGTTACCTTGTTTTATAAAGTATCCTCCCGACAAGTATTTCAGTGCGGACCTGTATTTGATCGTGCGGTCTTGGAGCACCGGCATGCCCTCCCCTGTGAGGTCTTAAGTCACCGGATTCACGAGCCCTTTGTACTACATTAACAAAGGCACGAGGGGTTGGTTGCACTCGATTGGGAAACCGATCCGCATAAAGACTCCCCCCCCCGTAAATAAGAATCATGTCCACAAGTTCAACATTTTCGTAAACATGTGCATTTTTTATTTCGTTTAAGCCACGCAACAAACAATACTATTCACTCACGCGTTACCGAGTGACACATTGACGGAAAACAACTGAATAAAATTGTACATTGTAGTAAAAACATCGTTTCAAATTCTTTCGCTTTTTTGTTTCCGATGCGATGAACGGATAAGGCGGATTATATCCGTTGTTGCCAAACACGAGCACATAATATTATTATTGAGACAGGGCGGTACTCAAGCTTCTAAAGGGCTATAACTTTGTTACTTTAATTTTACCAGAAAAATGTTAAAGGAAAAAAGCATTTCTTTTGATCAGATCTACTCACTGTTAAAATAAATGACTCAACTTCGAAGTCACCCTGTATATATATATATATATATATATATATACAATTAATTGTTAATTGGGAAATTGGCAAATCTTTAAGGCTTAAGTTGACTCTTTTGACGATAAAATCAAGCTTTCGGCATTCTCTATGAAGCCTTCATCAGGATTCTGAAAACACAAGTGTGATGCTAGCAAAGAAAACAGGACAGATTTAAATTGTCAGACAACTTACTCGTCGGTGAGGTTGCAGCCACAAGGTGTTTCAAACCGAACGTAGAGAAGATCGAACTTGTAATCAGTATAAGAACAAAAGGACGGTGACAGATACCTTCGTTACATGTTAAAAATATCAATCCACCCGAACAAGTTAAAAAGTATTACACGTGAGAAGACATTTTGTTGAAACAATCGGAATGCAGTCTCTAACCTTCTACTTCCGCTACACGTGGAGAGGGGGACGCCACGGAAAGATAAAGCGTCGACAGATGACAAGTGATTGACGCGACGGACCGTGGAACTGTAAACCTCCCTGTCCAACTTTGGGTATGAAGTATACGAGGGACGCTCGGTAAACCTGGAAAAAAGTGTGTAGCTCATATGAGTGTAAGAATGTGTGATATTGATACAACCTTGAAAAGATTGGTTATGTGAGTTTATATTAAAAATGTGAGTGAGAAAATGTATTCTAATTTTGTGAAGATGTTGGTTCAATTTGGATATGTAGCCGTTCTAGCTTTTCGCAATTCAACAGGTAGGAATAAATGACACTGAGCTGCTTAACATCAGCCTTTTTATTCAGGCAATGATCTGTCATGAAAATCTGGGACATTTCTAAAAATAAACGTTTTGAGAGTCTTTTTTCTTTATCAAAAACCTCAATACTGCCATAATTCATAGAATGACCTGTGTTGTTAATATGCGATGCCAAAGCACATCTCTCTGGATGTAATCTGGCGTCACTTTTGTGTGAAGTTATCCTGCCTTTCAGCGACCTAGAAGTTTGGCCTATATAAACTAAATTACAGTTGTTGCAATTAATACGATAGACAGTATTGGTTGAATCAAGCAACTGAACCTTGTCCTTCAACACTTGTTGTCCAAAATGTCTAACGGACAGTCTCGGGACCCTTTCGCAGCGGCGGACCGTCAGCGATCTAGCTCTTTTCTACCGCTACACCAACGAGCTTTGCTCATCAGAGCTCTCTTCCATGACTTTGGCCTCCCATCCTAACCGTTTTGAACTTCGTACATACATAACTGACCGGCACGACCGCTCTTTTGTCCCGAGGGTGACGAGTTTGTGGAAGAATTCACAAGAGGAAGCTTTACCCTTTTCTCCTAACCTTAGGCAGTTCAAAAATCGTATTAACAACATTTCTTTGGGATCATCATAGCAGCCACGGTGTCCCGGCATTTAGGCTTCTGCCTGCGTGGCTGCTTCGGTATAAAAAAAATCATCATCAATTTCATCATCTACGAGTCAGATTTGCCCATTTATCGGATTAAAGATACGCAAAAATATGCGATACAGCATGCTTTTAAACATTATGGCTTCACGAGATATAACACTCCTCTCATCGTCGTAAGGTAATCTCAAAAAATTAATTGATTAATTTCGAGGTTATCCTCTACCACGTCAGGTTTAAGGTCATTTTAAGGTCAGATTTAGAAAGTTTGCTAAATAAATTTTGGAATAAATTACATTGTAAATCTTTGGGCCATTGAATCCAAATCTGGCGGCGTTTCTTTTTCCTATGAGGTCATATACAGATTATTTCTAGATCAAAATAAGGTCAATATTTGTAAAAGT